TAGGATATGTAGAGGGTGACTCTGAACATGGGGGTCCTTCTCCCACCACTGAGTGTTGTGGCCTGGGGCTCCTCCATCACCCGGAGTTGCCAGGAGTGAGGATGGCACCAAACCACCTGGAACAACTGGAGCAAGTGTCTTCTCCTGATGCCTGCTTGGTTCTGCTTTTCTATCCCAAAAGGTGGGTGAGGTTCTTCTGGGGTCCCCTGGGCTTGAGCAGCAGCCAGACCCATGAGCAGTGGACCTTCATCTGTCCTGTGCTAAAGCCAGCAGGGAGGGAACATCAGCCCTTCCACTCCTTTTCCTGCTTGGATTTTGGAAGCAGAGCTGAAGGCAGAGCTGGAGCCCAGCAAACAACATTCCCCTTTGCTCCAGGGTGGGAGGAAGGGGAGAACCATGAGGCCTGGCCTCACTGGACACATTGACAGTGGGCTGTGTTCCCCCAGGCTACCACACTTACTGCCACTATCTGAAGATTGAGGTCAGCCAGTCCCACCCTGTGATGAAAGCTTTCTGCTTCCTGCTGCTCCAGCTGGCCCAGAAGGAGGAGCCAGTGGGGCTCAGGCACAGCAACGTGGAAGAGGGTAGGACCTTCCCACCTTCAACCAGGGGATGCACAGCCACCACCAAGTGGTGGCATTGGGGTCTCCTCTGTGGGTTTGTTGCTCCTCTAGGGATTCTGGTGGTGCCTTGGGGCAAAGGTAACACTGAGGGTTGTGGCTCCTGTGATCTCTCTGCTTTTATGCCACCTCTGGTGTGTGGATATCTCCATCCCAGGAGCTGGTCCTGTGCAAGTGCAGGATAGGGCTCAGCTGCTTTGCTAAGGGATGTAGATGGCATCTGAGCATCCACAGCAAGGGGCAGCTGGGATGGAATCACAGAGTGATGGAATGGGTTAGGTTGGAAGATATTTTGTACCTCACCTAGCTCCTGCCATGGGCAGGGACACCTTCCACTAGCCCAGGTTGCTCCAAGCCCCACCCAACCTGACCTTGAACACTTCCAGGGATGGGGCAGCCACAGCAGCTCTGGGCAACCTGTGCCAGTGCCTCACCACCCTCACAGGGAGGAATTTCTCCCCAGTACCCCATCAATCCCTGCCCTCTGGCAGTGGGAAGCCGTTCTCTCTTGTCCTATCACTCCATGCCCTTGTCCTAAGTCCCTCTCCAGCTCTCTGGGAGCCCTTTTAGGCACTAATTCCCCCCCTCCCATGTCCCTGCAGGCATCCAGCTCATGCAGCCCAAGACTGGTCTGAGCAGAGCGCAGACACGGCGGAGCCGAGCACGCTGGTGGTTGGCCTACACTCTCCTCAACAACCCCTCACTCACTGCCTGCCGGAAAACTGCCCTCTCTGACCCTACGGCCAACGGCACCCAGCTCAGCCCCACCAAGCCCTGACCTCCAGAGAACCTCCCCACCTCCTTCTGCCTCCCATGCACACTCCTGTCCCATCCCATCCCTGTCTCCTGTTGACTCTCCTGCACTGGCAGGAGTTTTGGGTACCTCTTGCCCCTCTCCAGCTTCCAGACCCTCTCCAGTGGTCATGGGGGCTATTTTTTATCTCTAGGTCCATGCCGAGCCACTCGCAGGGTCCAGAGGTGGAGACAACTGGGTCATCTCCAAGCCTGACCTGGATGGAGAGGGGTTGATGAGCCAAGCTCAACCCTGCCATCATCTCAGAAACATTTCAGTAGTCACTCCTGCAATGAGCCCACCAGTTCTCACCAGCTGTCTTTCCAACACATGGCAAGGCAGGACAATTCCCTAACACCAAGGCATATGGAAAGAGAGAGAAGGTGTATGGAGAGATCCTCAGCCAGCCTGAGCACAAGGAATTACCTGCATCTCAATATGGTCTCTCTGTGGAGAAGATCCCCCTTACCAACCCCATCCCCAGTTTTTCCCCTTCCAGGTCTGATCCTGGTTCCCTTTGGGCCCTGGACCTAACCCTGGGACTTTTTCTTCCCAATTTTGTGATGGATTTGCTCCTGCTCTGGGCTGTGAGGCTGCAGAGCTGTTTGTTTTCTGCCCCCCTGTCCTCTCCTCCTTGGTGCCTTATGTTTCTCTCCATTTGGTTTAAAGCCAGCAGTTCCCAAGGGCTGGTGTCCCTCCAAGGGAGCTGAGCTTGAATCCATAGTTTTACACCTGGCTTGGATGTGCCAAGCTGGGGAAGGTTAATAAATCACATACCTCATTCCTATGCTCGGGGTGTCCTTGGGCTCTCAGCTGCTCCTGAATCAGGGACATGAGGACCATCATAGTCATGTCTCTGAGTGATGGTTGGAACTGACCTTCCCAGCAGAGGCTTTGTGGTAGATCTGCTGTACCTGGGGGTGATGGGACCAAATCTTGGGGCAATTTTAACACAAAACCTCTCACTTTGCTGAAACAGGGAATTCAATGGCTAAAGCACCAAAGAGAGGTGTACAAGGTGTTGCTGGTCCTACAATGAAATCCTTAAACTCCTGCCTTTGTTGGCTGGAAAGATGCTTGGGGTGGGCAGCAAGCATGGCTCTAAGGAAGTGGTATGTGTGGATACTTCCCCTTCCATCTCAACACCATCTCAAACACCTCAGCCTTGCTGAAGCAGGTGCCCTTGAGACTTTGCAGGGAGCAGGGCTGCTGGACCAAGGGGTATCCTTGGCAGTGAGCAGATCTGCTCTTCATAGGCTTCCAAGGCCCCCATGGCCTGTTGCTGGGGGATTTCAGTACCCTCAGTGTGGTTTTGTGGTGAGTGAGGTTGAGCTCTGTGCTTTGGGGTTTGCCTGGAGTGTCCTGGTATCTCCCCACAACACCTGGGTGGGATCCATCCCTTTCCCAAGGAGTCTGACCCCCCCTCCCTTTCCACCCCAGCTTGGAGGGGGGTCCCTGCCTTCATCTGCCGCCTGCAGGTGCCACCTGGTGCGCTTGGCTGCTCCAAACCTTGTCACATTCACTGCCCACTAATCAAAGGTGATTAAAGTAATCACTTGTGATTACTGTCTGGCACCTAGCACAATGTCACCAAACTGGGTGACAGCTATGCCACCAGAGGTAGGTCTGGCTTGATTTCTTTTGAAAACAGGAGCCCAAGGTGCAGTTCCTGCTGTGTTGCAGCCCTGGGCTTTGCGGTGTGCGTGCTTGGTTTGCAGGGCTGAGCACGCCACAGAGCAGTGATGGGTGGCCCTAAAGCACAGGCTGTGCCTTTCCCTCACAGCCCATCCCAACCCACCTCCTCTGGAGGCCTTGGTAATCCCTAAAATCTTTGGCAGCTTTGGCTCATGGGTGGAGCTGGATTTCAGCATCTGTTTACACAGCCCTACCCAGGCTTCCTGGAGATGTCTTGGCTGGGGCTGTGCTCAGAGATGACAGCCCTCGGAGGGAGACAGAAGGTGGCTTCGTGGATTTCCTTGTTTTCTTGCTTTTCTTGGATGTTGACAGTGCCCTGGGGGGACCTGAGCTCTTCTTTTTCGAGGTAGCTTCACACCTTTTCTTTAAACCCCCAACATAGCAACAGCCATGGGGCAGCTCTGCCTCTGTGCATCCACAGCCTCTCCACCCAGCCCCTGAGCGGGTGGTGAGGTGGTTCAGGGAGCTGATCCAGCTGAAAATAGCCCTTAAGGAAAAACTGTCCATGTGGGGAATGGTAATGCAGGCCTGGCTTTGCAAACAGGAGGGACAGAGAGGGGTTGCGGCATCCTGGGCTTGCACTGTGTAGCTGTGGTGGGTCTGGATGGTGATGGCAGGTGTGATATCACCTGCACATGCAACCCAGGAGCACCATGGCACAGTGCCCTGTTTGTTGTGAATGACTGATGTTTAACATCACTAAGGATTTGCCATAAAAGCTATGAGTAAACTTGGCTAATGTGGAGGAATTCACTTTTCTGGTGACGAACCAGTGAAGCTGAGGGGAGCAGCAGCTCTGTGAGGTAGGCAGAGACTTTCAGGCATGGCTTAGGCCTGCTGAGAGCCTAAATCTCATTTTTCATTCCTATCCCAGGCTCCAAATCCTGTTTGCAGCCAAGATTGCAGGAATCAACTCCTGTATCTTTCTATTCCCTGGCAGGCTGGGAAGGGAGGACGTCAGCTGGGATCAAATGGATCCTACAAAACGAAACCAAAACTCCTGTTGGGGCCACGATGTTTTTCATCCTCTAATGGGAAAAATCTGTGCCTGTTAGCATCAAAGGTTGTTTGTGTAAGGAGTTGTTGGCTGAGCCTGGGATGTTTCTGCCTCAGGACCCCCACAGAGACCTCGGTGTCGTACAGGGCAGTGTTGGCATAGAGCAGCTCCTCAGCTGCCTCTTTCCTTACCATACAAGCTGTCTGGACATGGAATTTTGGGGCTTGAGAGCTTGTGTGGAGGGTTGAGGCTCTGGGAAAGCTGATTTTGATGTTGCTGTTTTCCCCAGCCTGCTGCAGGCAGTGTTGGGAGGGATTTTGGGGGGTTTGATAAATGCATCTTCCCTCCAGGGGAGAATACCACAGCACAAGGAGGATTTGGGGGAGTTGGGGGATGCTATGGCACAGGTTTAGGGGAGCGGGGGGGATGCTATGGCACAGAGAGAACTTTAGGGGAGCTGGGGGGGAAAGGAGGTGCCCCCTGAGCAGAGAGGGTTGGTGATGAGCTGTGTCACCCCAGATGCTGTTGGCTCTGGGAGGTTTGAGCAGGCACAGAGGCAGCACACAACAGCTTGTTTAAAAAACAAAGGTTTTATTGCTGTCCATACAGGTTTGGCTATAAGGTGAGGGAGGCTGCAGGGCTCCTTCCAGCTCCTGCAGGTGAGTGCTGGCAGAAGGCACAAGAGCTGGACCACCTGTACCTCGAGGTGGGAGAGATGCTCAACCCCCTGCCATGAGACAAGGGCTTCCCCAGCACCCTGGACAGTTGGATATGGTATATATGTCCTGCATGGGAATGCTAAAGCACTTAAGGAGTGTGTTTATGGCTTATAGGTCAGCTCAGCTTCTCTTGTAGTCTGGGTTTTCCCAATCCTCCTTCTTCCCGTTCCTCCATGCAGCCCTCACTTGGTTTCCCATAAGAAAGGAGCACTGGGGAATTCTTTGGGTGTCTTTGAGCTCAATCCTTCTGTGCCAGGGACAGAGCTGGAGCAGGGCAGCTCGGTGGGGCCAGCCCAGATGAGCGTTTTGGACCATCAGCAGTAAAAGGGGAATTGGAAATCCTGTGACATTTATGGAAGATGAAGGCACTTTGGATGCTCCCAGCACCCAATCAGCAGGAGCCCTTTGTGCTTCTGCAAGGATGAAGCCTGTGGGAAAGCTCCTGCTCCACACAAGGGCCTGATCCAAGCCCATGGCTCCATCCAACATGTCCTACCATCCCCATCCTGCCTACAAAGCACTATCACATCTCTGTTCCTCAGAGCCACATGGCCTGGGACACCAGGACCCTATTCTCAGGCTACTCCTCCACTCTCAAACTGGTCCTTCTGCTTCAGGTGAGGTTGGTGGTCAGAAGGATGTACCTGACCAGCTAAGGGCCCAGGTGCTGGTCATGGAAGGGATGTCATCTTTGGATCCCCTCCCTGGTCACAGATGGCTGCTGCAGGTGGAGAGGCTCCTGGGGGGCTCTGGGGTTGGGTGATGGTCACCCTGTTGAGGGTGGACTTTAATCCTGCAGCCACACTTTGATCTCAGGAGGAAGACAAGGGGGGGTGGCAGCTTTGGACACCTGGAAAGTGGCAGCACAGTGTGGATCTGCCCTGCACCACCTGAGCTCATTTGAAGCTCTCAACTATCAGAGCCCAGCCCTGACCTCCACCTAGGGAGGGGTTGAACTATGAGCCCTGGGCCTGAGTCTTGGCTCCCTTTGTCTCCTGACCACCCACAGTTCCCAGAAGCTCAGCAAAGGCATGGCACTACGTGAAGATAAATGCTACAGAAAGAGGGGAAACTCCCCAGGCACTGTGTCCTCCTCCCCCTTTAACAGCAGAGCACAATGCCCAAAGCCAGCAGGAGGGTCCCCAGGTGGCCCTGGGCCATAGCTCCTCCAGCCCTGCTCTTCGACTCCCTCGGCATGTGGTAAACAATCACCAGCTTTTCTCCCACACCCGAGGGGTCCATCTCATCCCCTTTGTAGCAGCTTCTCCCCCCGAGGTGACCAGCATGGGGGTCATCCCGCAGCAGGTCTTCTGCTGGATTCTCCGACCCCGCCAAGGCCACGTTGACTGAGACATCCCTCATGCCCACATCGTTGACAGCGAGACAGGTGTAGGTGCCTTCATCTTCCTTGCTGAAGTTGGGGATGGCCATGGTGCCATTCTTGAAGACCAAGAAGTGCTCTTGGCTCTGCTTGACGTTTCCATCCCGTGCCACATTGGGGCCGTTGATCTCCACGCGGCGGCTGGAGGTCTGGATCTTCCAGCGGATCTCTGGTGGAGGACTACCAGCCACACTGCAGTGCAGGCTCAGAGTCAGCCCATCATACATCACTGTATTGTCCAAGTTGGACAGGTAGGTGAGCTGCACGGAGGGGGCAACACAGTGGTGGTCGGGGATGTCTGTCACTGCCCTCCCCTTCAGCCTGGCAGGGGCCACACACAGTGTAGACCCACCCTTGGTGATGGAGACAGAGGTGCTCTCAGTCCACTTCTTCAGCCAGAAGACCTTGCAGGAGCAGTTGAAGGGGTTGTTGAAGATCTGTAGCTGGGACAGGGAGGGCAGGTTGTCAAAGGTGCCCTCAGCCAAGGTGGTCAGCTCATTGTCGTTGAGCCAGAGGGAGCGCAGGTCCTTCAGGGAATGGAAGGCGTCCCGGGACAGCCCGGCCAGGCGGTTGTTGTTCATCTTCAGGATCTGCAGCTCACTGAGGTTACGGAGGTCCTGCCAGGGGAAATCCATGATCTTGTTGTGGCTCAGGTCTAGGTTCTTCAGGTGCACCAACAAGGAGAAAGCCCCTGGTTCCACCACCCCGATCTGGTTGTAGCCCAGCCACAGTGACTGCACCTCGGGAACCTCAGCGAAGGAGCTCTGCCCCAACCAGGTGATCCTGTTGGCTGACAAGGTGAGGATGGTCACATTGAAGGACAACCCCTCAGGTACCTCCTGGAGATCCTTGTAGGCACACTCAGCCAAGAGCCGCCCATTCTTCTTGGTGGAGCAGGAGCAGGGGCTGGGACAGGCCAGGCAGGAGCCCAGGAACACAGCAAGTCCCAGACAGAAGAGCAGGGGCCTCATCCCTCCTCCTGGGAACAGAGACAGGGGGGAATGAACAGGATGGGTCTAGCTGAGATGGGAATCTGCTTTTACTTGCCAAATACTAAGAGGAAGCAGTGGGAGAACAAAGCATCCATGTGATTCTCCCCACAACTTCGGCTGGGAAAGGCTGTTTGAAATATTCCCTAATCTGAAGAAGGCATTTCCTGGCCAAGAGCAGAGCCTTCAACTATGCCATGTGTGGGGAACTTCCCCCTAAACCCTTTCCTTCCCCCACTAGAAAATGCCTTTTTTTGCTCTCTGCTGAAATACCACCCCCCAGGATGCTGTTTCCACAGGCTTTGGGATGAAAGTGGGAGTTCAGAGTTCACCCTGCTGAGGCTGGAATTAGGAGAAACAGAGCAACCACAGCTCTTTCACAACCAGCCTTCCCCTAACCCATCAAGTAGTCGAGATTTCCAGCAGACTCTTTCGGCCCTCAAACCAACCCACCATCTCCATATTTTTTCCATGTCATGGAAAAAAACAGCTCCTCAAGTGCTTATTCTCAGCAAGGGAGTGTGGGGTCCCTGGCTGCTGGAAGTCTTTAGAGTGAAATATTTCGGAGGTAACTCCTTACTCCCCTCCTGGCTGCCTTGCAGAGGGCACTGTGCACGCTCAGATCCCGACGGCCACAGGCTGTGTCCCACCAGGGAAGAGGTTAACTGCAGCTCTGCGAGGAGCTGGCAGCCAGACCCCTTTGTCTCTGCCTTGTAGGCAAATTTTGCTGCTCTTTCCAGTTCCCAACCCTGTCATTTAAAACAGGAGGGGGGAACGTTTTATTGGTAATGGAGAGGCTGAATAAGACCTGCATAACTGGGGGGGAGGTGCAAAACGGGACTGAAAGGGAAGACCCTGCAGGGATAGAGAAACCCCAGGGCTGGGATTCAGGAGATGGGGAAGGAGCCCCGATGGCTCTGGGGGTGATGGAGGGGTGCATGGGGGGGTCTCCTTGGCTGATGCAGTTAAAGCCCCTGTTTGGTGTAATTTTTGGGTGCTCTGTATCTGTCGCAGCCCAAACTGCCCAGCGAGGAGCAGATCCCCATCATCCTGCCCGAGATGCTGCGGG